TTTCACTACAATCCCCCGTCCCTACCTCCTGTCATATGCATCTCTATCCCGAAATGAACGTTTTCTTTCCCAGTACCGCATCCCGTGCCAAGATTTTGGCGAATCCCGCTTCCAGAAAAGCTGTAAAATCCCTTATCCGTCAAAACATTTGGCATTTTCCCGAATCCCGCTGTATATTTGTCAAATCCCGGATTCCAACAATAGGACAATAGGGGAGGGTGGGTCCTGGTCCCGCATTCCCCCTCCTTTTTCAAGACAATCCCGCATCCCGACCATCTCTCGCCTGTATCCCGAATACCGTTTTCTTTCCCAATACCGCATCCCGCGCCACGATTTTGGCGAATCCCGATTCCCCAAAAGCGGTAAGATCTCATATCCCGTCAAGAAATTTGCGTTATACTTTTTACCGAATTCCTTGTTATATTTTAGTCAATTCCCGGATCCCGAGAGTACTTTTCAAGACCCTGTTCTCATGTCTTCTTTTTGTGAGAAAGTTTGATTGTTTTCAGTCAGTGACACAGGCGGCTCGAAAGAAAAAAAAATCCGAGTACTCCGGCCACCAGTAGCCGAACCTATGACCTTCTGGTTACTCAAAGAGTCCAGATGTGGCTAAGGACTCTAAGGACTCTAAGACTCTAAGAGCTAACTGCCTCGTTCCTCGGCGTCTCAAGCGTGGAAAACGGAAAACGCGACTACACTAGCCATCAAGGAGTATCGCGCAATGGACCATGGTAGCGTTTAGCGTGGACGCAAAGGACGCTGGGAAGGGTGAACGAGAAAAGTGAGACGCCTCGCAGATTTGGTTCCATTTCTGTCCAGAGAACTCCGATTTCTGGATATGGGCTGTGAACCGTTCTCCTTGCGCTATTTTGAGGAGAGAGAATGTCGAGGTCTATGTTATAAGAATTTTAATATGGTTTTTTCGTTGTTTTCGGTATACTTTTGAAAACAAAGATTAGCAGCGCTTTTTGAGCACCCTCGACCTCGACTGGTATAATTATGACGAGCATAGAGGAATCCTTACATCACCTTTCTTTACAGGGTAAGTGCTTCTTATTGTATCGAAGAATGTGAGGACAGGGGATTCTGTCCTTCAGGACGAGCTGGTGAACTTTCCCTTCGCTGAAAAACACTCTAAATGATTCTTTTTCTTTTCCTCTAGTTTCGCATAGTTACTTTCTGCCATTTTGAAATTGTAATCGGCCAAGCGCGTTTTTCTCTTCGCCTTTCCCATGACACCTAGCGCGAAACCAAAATCCCAGTCGCTCTCGACTCGGCTAGAACGCGCCTGGGTACGAGGCTGGGGAGCTAAGGTCACTATATTGTTCATCAACAAAACTACGTTCATGTTCCTGTGGGCGAGAGGACGGTAGGTCTGGCCGGAGGAGATCGGTAAGGGCTCCATGATACTGTTTAGGTAAGAACTGCTGAACCGCTGGCACGTCATCCATTAAATCAGGCAAGATTGCAGGGGTTCTGCTAAATTTCACAGGAACTGAAAACACCGGAAACAAGGCTCTCCGAGCTATGTCTGTTCCCAATGCAAGGTAAATTTAATTGGAAATATAGTTATTGAAAGGCAAAGAATGCATGCATTTTTTAGTTTAGGTAGACCATCAGAGCAATGAGACATCATCCCTCGATCAATATAAAATCATTTTAGGGTATTCTTTGATTTCAATATGATCTTAGGCTCTTTTTGAAGTAATGCCAGAAAATCGTGACCCCGCTTTCTCAACTTGGTTTCGCTATCTTAGAAGTCGCACTGTGTTTTAGTTTTAGCAGTAAAACAAATGTTATCATGACTCACCTTAGCCAGCTCCTTTTCCAGCTCCATTACATCCTCCATTTGCTGCCTCGTGTTGTTTCCACCTCCCAGTAATTCTCCAACTTTCGTCATGTATTTCAAGTAGGCCAACCTTGTCTGATTAACAAAACGGACGTTTTTTAGGAATTAAAAAGAACAATTTCATCCCGTTTTAAGCGTCTTTGTCAATTTTGTCCAACCTTTCTTTTGTACTTGCTGTAATTATTATAACTGTACCTCGCTGTTTGAAGCAGTTATTCTGTTACAGTTAGGAAGGTTTGGTAGTCTAAGATCAAGCTCTGCGTTTGGGGAGTCGCGCGTTCTATCGAAGTCCTTGCTCACAGGCTGGGAACTATGCGGCCACTCTGATTGGCTAAATTTGGCTAAATCGGGCTCAACAGTTCCGTAAGTTGAGAAAATAATAAAAGTATTCATACCCTGCCCTTTTGTGTTACTCTAAGGTGGCTTTTAAATACACTGAAACCTCTATTAAGAGGACCCCCAATTAAGCGGACACCCTCTATTAAGCGGACGCTAAGCCGTGTCCCGAAGTTAACGCCTTATGTTTCCCTTTATAACGACCCCCTATTCAGCGGACACCTCTATTAAGCGAACGCGGACACTAAAATATATTGTATTTGGCGACGCAGTCGCGAGAGGGCCAGAAATCCGACGAAGGACTTTTGAAAGTCTACGGATTGAATTGACAATAGCAGTATTGGATTACGTCCTTGAAATACGTTTTGTAGTCGATTAATAAAGATAAATCAATACATTTAGGTGTCAATAAACTGTAGATTAGAACGAAAATCTTGCTCAAACTAAAGCAAAGCTTCCTTAGCTTCCTTAACAACATGGATCTTTATCACAGTACAGAGTAACCGTTGAAAGTTTATCGTTAACAAACATTGTGCAGTCTTTACAAACCTTTATTAAGCGGACACTTGGGAAGGTTCCGAATTTAATTTGGCATTGGATGACGACAGTTTTTGATTGGTCAAATTGTCTGGTGACACTTTTGAACCAATTAGACTGCTAATTTAAATCCGATTGCAGTGGCCCGTCCCTGTTTCCCCACACTTGGCGTTAAGTATAATTCTACCTTGTTGTCCGTTGCAAAGTACTGATCACGAAGAAGACTCAGCCTTGGAGGGGTAATCTACAAAATGAAAAACATCGACATTTAATCGAATAGAAAAATATTGAATTATTAGAAGATGCATGACCTTACTGAATTGAGCCGCAAATTTGGGGGCACTGCTTTTTTGAGTACACCTGTCTACACATGTCTATTAAGTTGAAAAGACAACTTTTTTTAGTCTGCGGATACTGAGCCGTTTCTCCTCGCTCCTGGGAAGTGTCTCGAGCGTCGAAGAGCGATGAGAGACGGCTGTTCAGTACAAGATGTTGCCAGTTTTTCCTGGTTGCTACTCACTAGATTTCGCGCACAATGACTGTTTTGTCTACCTTGATCAGCAAGAATAACAGAGTCCAAAGCCCGGCTCTACTTCCGGCCATATGCGGTTGCAAATCAGTGCGTCGAAAAGTTTTTTTAACATGGAAAGTCAAAAAACAAAGCTGGAAGATTAAGATAACTGATCTATTGATCTGGTTGGCTCTTGAAGCCTTATTGAATTTTGGGAAATGCGCGAACAATTTGGTGGATTAAAGTGTTCCCAGGAATGTGCCTTAATTGATTTAGAAGTAACAGCTAATTTTAATTGTCAGCAGCTGTACACTGAAAGGTTGAAAGTCTTCGATAGAACTGGTTTAGCGTACACGTCTCCAGTGCGAGTTCGTAGTGCGCTGTTTGTTAGTGAAGAGTGCCGAAAACGACGGCTTCAAAATTGAGGTTGACGTTCTGTTTCCATATGTACAGAAAATGGTAACTAACAATAGTCAAGGTCATTTCTGATATGACACTTTTTTCAGGCCATGAATACTGTCGTCGGGGAAGCTTCGACTGGGGTGGTCTGTCTAAAAAAAACAAAAATGACTTTCCGAGAGAACTAACTCAGTCTAGTAAAGTGTAATATTGGTCTCCCTTTGGACGGAACAGGAAAGGCAACCCAAAGAACTAGTTAGTCATCCTTACCAACGTCAAACTGCGACTAGGAGGTCTTTTTTGAAGACAGTGGGAAAGAAACATATCAGGGAGAAAATGATAGCAGCCTATGTCAACATCTCCGGAACAAACAACAATTTTAATCGAAATATTTAAAGGGACAATTTAATTAAACAAGCGAGTGCAAGTGTCACGAACCCGAGCAGTAGACATAACAACTCAAACCAGCTAACTAGCCTTATGGGTGTGTCAGTGTCATAAGAACGTCAAAATTGGTCGGTAATTTGATCGTTTGTTTTTGTAGTACGTGGTGTAACGACCAACTAGCACACTAAAATATTGAACCATCAGCGGTAGTATTGAACCTGTCCATTTGAGAACCAAAAAAACCATGAAACTCTTAGTGGTAAGCCCTTCAATAATACTACTTGCCTATTTAGGAAACAGACTTGAAACTCTATTCATGATAATTGAACTTCCCACCTAGTGGCTATGTTAAATTATTGCTCATCTCAGACTACAATAGTGTCCAAATGAAATAAGGCTGATTTTGCTCTGTAAAATTTCATAGTGTCACATGCCTCTTGAGGAGCACTAAGTTGTGTCATGGAGTTTGGTGAACACGCCCACTAATTTGAACGATTTCGTCTGGTCATCTCCGTTAAAAATCAGATTAAACTAAGCGATGAACAATGAAAGTCCGTCCGTGTACTTAAAAGATCCCGTCTGTATTATAATATTTTCAGCGTGAATGTTTGGAATTTGCGCAGGATCAAATTTTGGGTAGACTTAAAAAGCCACAAGTTTAGCAATCTGGACCAGACATTTAATTTGGGGGTTTCATTAACTATATCTTTAATAAAATGCACCTGTAAATTGTTGGCTTATCTTCAACTTGATTACTCTCCTTGTGGATTAGTTGCCTTATCTCTCGTAATATGTAGCAAAAACAACTAAAAGATCTTGGTTATCTTTATAACATTTTAACTCAAGTTATTGCGACATTGGGTTGCCTCGGGCTACATACGTCGCCACCCAGATACGAAATAGTAATTGACGCAGTTCAAGAAACTGAAATCAACTAATGGCAAAACTCTTTACAAAATATAACGTTAATTGTTTATTTTTAACTTTTGTTACCTTTAGACTCATTCTTGAAGAGTTGTAAGGGTTTGCAACAATGTAAAGTTCGAAGAGGGGAGAAATGGAGAAGAAGTCGCTGTGAATCTTCCGTAAACTATCAATGTAACTCCATCTTGACTCATTCCATGTGCCATTGTCTAATGACCAGGATCCAAATCGATAAATAAGACGCTTTAACTCGATTGTCCCATTGTTATTGCTGTCATCCTCGTTCATGCAGGATTTGAAGTAGACTCTTGCCTTTGATACAGCGTTTTCTTTAGGACCACTAGCATCCTCTAGCAACAAAAACAGAATCTGCTCGTAGACTTGTTTTTTTAGTACAGCAAAAGTAGATATCCCGGCTTCGGAGGATGGGATTGGATTGTTTTTGATCCAAGAGCCGCAGGAATATTGAAAAAAATCTTCACATGGATTCACGGTCTCGTTCATACTCTTTTGTAATTTGGATGCAACTTCCAGACATGTTTCGGAGCTGCACTGCTGAGCACTTTTTGGGCAAGTTACTCCATCTCTTTCTCCCCCATTCTTGTCTTCCTTGCGAATGTTCAAGACCAGGAAAACTGAGAGCACAATGCAAGCAGCCAGCAGAACAAAGCACAGGGTTATAAGCACCAAACGTATTCGCTTGTTGTTCTTGAACAGTGCAGTACTGCTGCTAGTCGAAGTGAGACCCAACGTTTGAGTGCTGCCTGCAATCCCAAACTCGCTGCCGCCGTTTTCAGTTGTATGTGACTCCATGGAGAGTGAATCAACCTGGTTTGATAACGCTCCGTGTCGAAGGTACCAGTTGTGATCACAGATTTGCTATCACTAAGCTTCTGATCTCGTTATGTGTGTAATATTAGTTTGAGCAGCCTTCTGTCAAACCCCCATCAATATTTTGACATGTGATATTATTGTTTCAGGTCTTTCAGAGTAGCATTATTTACAATCCGCATTCTCTTGTTACAGAAGGAAGACCTATATTTTGCTTTCATCCTCCCCTCTCCACCCAAAAAGGAAATCCATTTTGTTAGCTAAGAAACAGTATATTTTCGGAACACGCCTACTCAGCTAAAATATTCAAGACAGTTGAGAAATGTGGTGTCAGCCTCGTCTGTGCTTCTGAAAAACTGAAAATCTACATGCGTTGTTTGTTTAATTGTGGGAATGCTAAGTGGAGGACGATTATTTGAGTCTGACATGCATAAGTAAAGATCAAACAAAGCAATTTTTTTTTTCATAAGAGCGAGACCAGTTGAAACGTGTCTGGAGAAGGTTGATTAAGAAAACGTATCCTCCAGGGTTCTCTTCCTCAGCCAAATGCCGGATGACGTCACCATGTCAACAGCAGCTAACGTTGACGACGAGAAAATGTTAACACAATGGCATTACTTTCATTGCCCGCAGTTAATCAATTCTACAAGGGATTCATTTAATTTGTAAATAGCGTATATGACACGGTTGTTGCATTGCACCTTTTTTTCACTTAAGGACGTCAGTTCAAAACAGTCTTAAGGGATAATTGATTACGACCAAGACGAGGGTCTCCAGTGGAGTTCTTCAATACCGTCACACCGACAAAAAGTTTTCCAACCCCTAATCCTCGGGGCTTTTACCGGTTAATCCCTATCCTAAAAATAATGTTTTAAAAAAGTGCCGCTTTCGGCTCATTTAGATAGTGGGATTGAATCAGTAGTACGGTACGGTCAACTTCGGGTATGCGGTCACGGTACAGACCCCAGAAAAATGTGAAAAACTTTTGTTTAGTGAAATAAAAAGATGTTCCTTTTCAACGCTTACAAATGCAGTTCATCACATTTCTTTCCCGATATCGCTTCTTGAAACAACAGTTTCCGAAATCTCACATTGTTAAGGGGGCTATGTTTTAGGTCAATCTGTGCTATAAAAAAATGCTCCGTGAGAAATTTATATTAAGTAGATATCAATCTGATTTCATCAGGGAACACTATCCGAAACAATGTTTCGGTGATTTTTACATTTAGCATTAAAACTTGAAAAAGCTGGTTTTAATCCATCTCCATCCTGGCCATCTTTTGCAACAGGTCAAAGCCTAAATACAATCTTAATTAACAAAACTGGACCATTAGTTTTGGAATTCAAGTGATGCCGGGAAGGCAAATCTTTAGCTTTGTAAAAAGATAGCAAATAGAGTGTTGTTTTCAATTTATCTCAATACTTCCCATCTGTTGCAACAAACGACAGGAAAGGGTTTAAAAGCCTAAGTATAGTCTTAATTAACAAAACTGTGCCAAATTTTTAGCTTCGTAAAAAGACAGCAAATAGCGTGTTTGTTCCTTTTCGCAGTCTCTCCGCTCTTTAGTTTGACTAACGAATGCCTGGCTCTCCATATTGATTCAGAGGTAAAGGCAGGGATATTGTGGCTGAATGAATGAAGTAATTGCCGATCGATTTTTTCCCACACTTAACTTCATAACTTTTGGAGCACTGAAATAGCAAACCTCATACGAGATCTATGACTCCAAACGATTTCTTTGCACTTGTTATTGCAATTTACAGTATTCATATGTTTATGATTATTGCTATATTTGTTGGTTGATTTTTTATTTATGTCTCACATATTAGATATCACAATCGGCTCAATTTAGTAGAATACCGTTATGATTTGAAATCAAAGAGTAAACGTTAGATTACGAGAATTATTCGCATAAGCAGCTTGCCGCATTCCTTACACCCAGGAAACGTGTTCTTAGATTGCCAAGGTTGTTTCATTTTATACTTATTGTTCAATTTTCTGGCACTAACTGTTTCCGCAACTATGGGAATTTGCATGTATAAGGAAAACAAGTCCTTGAGATGGCGCTCCGAACACCTCTTTGTGGAGACAGCCTCTTCTGGTGGGTTCCTTAATTACTCCACAGAACGCGGAAACTTAAAGCATGGAAAATTTGCTCAGGTTAGCACGTAAAGGAGCTCGAGCGCTGTGCTAGGCACTTTCAGCCAATTTCAATTCTTCTGATAGATATTGGAGCGGGGTTAAATGAAGAACGGAGCGTAATAAAAAATTGGAACGGCGAGGGAGAGAAGAGGGAGTAGTCGTGAAAAAGGACTAAACAAGGCCTGGCTACTAAGCGGGCGATAAAGTCGCGCGCATGTGTTTGTTGGGTAGAGGCCTGACCTCGTCCAGAGAGCTGAATACCACTTTCTCACGTACAGAACTACAGACATTTATCACACGGCAGTACTCTTTCTTTACCAAGACCTGAGAAGTCTAAGCGCGAACGTTAAACACAATCATGTCATTAGTCAATATTTAGTCAATATTCTTGGCAAGACTTGAGAGCATAATTCATAACAGCACGATACTTCATTCCACACCTTTCAATGTCGATTAAAACTGTTGTGGTATAAAAGCGGTTAGCCGCTAATTGAGGCGGAGAAACCGCAACCCTTGTCCTTCATTTTGAACGACAGTTGTCGAGGGGAACGATAGTTTTTGGAAAAAAGTGCAGAATTTAGTCGTTTTTATAAAAAATCTATATTTAATAAAGACTTGTTTTAGTGAGGTGGCTGTTACAACTGCCTTCTTATTAGTTTGACGAAAAAGCGAGATATCGTGCAAAAGTCTATGATTCGGTGTACGTGGCTGAAGTTGCAAGACACAATTTATAACACTTGGCTTAAGTGAAGAAATCCGGAAATCGAGTACTTAACACTTTAAATCTCAGACAACGTTCAAAAGAATCACGAAAATATGTCTTTTCATTATGCAAGTTAGTAAACTTATAGTACTCTTAAACGCGTGACCCAACACACCGCTACTAGGAATTACCAAATCACTAATGGGAAACGCTTAGAAGCTTAATTACTACTTTGCACACACCACAAACTGAACAAACTTTGATTTGTTGGACATTCTCACCCTCTTTGGACCGAATAATAACATAAAAAGCGTCCGAAAAACATACGAATAGGTATCACTACCTTCTAGAACTATAATGATGAATTCCGTACAATTGGGATTACGAAGATTACTAATTCCGAAGATTTTTTAATCTTATACCAACAAGAGGGTCATAAAGTCACAACAATTGCGAAATAAGCGTTATGTTTGACTCGTAACTAACTGATCCTAATTTGAATAGGCCAACGCAATGTTTCTTTTGCTGTTGTATAGGGTAATTTTAGATCTTTTATCCAATTTGGAAGCCGCTATGATGAGTCCGCAGAATCCGTTTTTTTTGTTAGTTTTGCGGTGTTGTTTTAAGTAATTCGTGCGATAGTAGCTCCGCTTAATCGTTTGTAATCCACATTGGGTCACGGCATCATTGCTATGATTCTTTCATCTGCCAGTTTCGTTAGTTTCGATCTCTAAACTTTACATTAGCAAGACAAACGTTTCTATTGTACATTGACAATCAATCAAGAAATCCCTCAATCTTTATTTGAAACGGTTTACAGAAAAAGACAGCTAGTTGGTCGTTGTATGTCGAACTTCAATCAGATATAAAAGTTAATTGGTATCTACAGTTGAATACTTATAATATACAACTGAAAATCCGATTACAATGGAGCTAACACAACTTAACAGAAAAATCTAAAATCTAAACTAAATTTTAATGTTGGTAAAATCGACAAATTTTTCTTAGTAAGATGAAGGCGGAGTATTATGAACCACACCACACAAATAGAGAAAATCGGACTCTTTACTTGGACTACATGCAATCTTTTAGTGAACCTCGGCTCGGCTACAACTTTACTATTCTCTTCTGTGTTTTTTTAAAGGCAGTTTTAAAGTGGTTATTTGTACGTTTCAGCTAATTCCATGACTAGTTCGTGGCCGACAGCGGAAACTCATACAACTTATCCTAAGCGCTCTTCAAGGTCTTCAAATAATACTTGCCAACGCTTGTAGAACTAAAGGGGGGCTGACAGAATTGCGGCATTTAAAGCAGAGCTGCGCTATTCTTAATACTTCTGGAATGTAAACTACGTAACATGAATATAAGATTTATTTTTATTGCATTAAAATGTACATTTTTCTGGTATATTATCTTAAGGGATAAAATTTTATAAGGAAGCAGACAGTTTTCTTTGTACAACTCACACTCTAGAGAACTGAAGAAAGATAAAAAAAAACCTTAAGCTCGATCTATCATGGTTCTTCTGGTTGGGTTGTGGTTGCGTGACGTTCTTTTTGTTTTGATATATTTCAAAAAGAGATTATAATTTTTAGAAATATTGTGTCAAACTACCGTGCTGCTTTCACGATAACATGTCAAGATTTTCTTTATTTATATCAGAAAAAAATTATTTCCTTTCTTCGCCGACTGAATTGACTTAGTTTTTTCTCTCGAGCATAATCTCCTAAGACGCGAAATAATGTCCATAACAAACTAGATAAAACGATTAAATTTTCAAAAAAATTACAACAAAAACGTTTTTTATTGGCGCCATTTTGTGGCAGTGATCACAAGTGGCACGCCACCGTGGCTACAGAGCCTTTAGGCTTTGTTTTCTTTTGAACATAAGTCATAGGTCAAAACTTTAAGTTTCCACATGAAACTCTTTCGTGCTTGTAATTTGAGGTTAAAAAAACTCGAAACAAAACCTTATACAGCCAAACTTGTCTTAGCACAGACTCTTAGAATAGAGGAACATAATCTCTAACCGAC